TTACAATATATTATATAAATATATATATATATATATATATATATATATATATATATGTATAAATGTATATTGAGGTAGGGGTTGCGAGTGCGCGTGTTGGTGTTGATATATTTTATTATTTTTATTATTTTTATTATTTTTATTATTTTTATTATATTTATTATATTTATTATTTTTATTATTTTTATTATTTTTTTAATTTGTCTCCTTCGGGCGTCTCTTCTTCCGGTGTCTCCTCAGGTCGGCCACTCCTACATCACTAGGCAGAGACAGTTGCATGCATCTTGCAGCAGCAACAGCAGCAGCAGCAGCAGCAACAGCAGCTGCAGCAGCTGCAGCAGCAGCAGCCCCTCCGACGAGAGGAAGTAGAAAACAACAAACAGCAGCAACAAACAAAAACAAATAAATAAAATAAATTAACAAACAGAGACAAGTCGAATAAAGGCGACAATAAAACAAACAAAATAAAATAGACGAGACAACTACATAAATAAATAAAAATAAATAAATAAAGAAGTAAAGATGTAAAGGAGATAAGAAAGACAAACAAATACATAAACAAATAAACATATAAATAAATATTTATTTATTTAACTAGTAAATAAAAGAATAGAGGACATATGTAATAATTATCTGATTATAATATATATAATAATAATAATAATATAAACCCGCAGACAACAATGAAGACAAACAAACACAAAAAAGAGACAGACGAAAAGTAGAGACGAACATAAACATAAAACAAACAAACAAACAAAAAAATAAACAAAGAATAATAAAACAAACAAACAAAGGATGAAAAGATAAAGAGTAAAACAAACAAACAAACAATAAAAAGATAAACAAATAATAATAAAACAAACGCAACGCATCGGAGACAAATGAAAAGGAGACGAAAAAATAAACAAAATAAAAACAAAAATAATAAATTAATAATTATAAAGAGGAGACAGACTTATAAATATAGACGGAGACAAACAAATAAAAGAGAGAAAAACTATGAAGAGCAAATAAAAGAGACAGACACTAAGCAAGGAGACAGAAGGAGACAGAGAGAGAGAGAAGAGAGTGTGAGACAGGCAGCAGCAGCTGCTGCTGCTACTCTGCTGCACCAGCTACAAACAACTTCGGTTTGCTTGCTGCTACAGTTGTTCTCGCTAGAGTTGCTGTTGCTGCAGTTGCTTCTTCTGCAGTTGCTGCTGCTGCAGTTGCTGCTGTTACAGTTGTGCTGCTACTGTTGCTTCTGCTGCAGTTGCTGCTGTTACATGTGCTGCTGCAGCTGCAGCGGTTGTACAAGCGTGCATGCATAACTAGCTGCTACTACTGTTGCTGCTGCTGCTGCTGCAGCTGTTAGCTATAAGCGAGAAAAGAAAAAGCAAAGAAGTATAAACGCTCTGAGAAGAAAAAGGAGACAGTTGCTGTGCTTGCTGCGGTGTACATACACCTCAACTCCAGCAGCAGCAAAGTTGCTTGACAGTTGCATAATATATTTAAACGCCCGTCTAACTCTGGGACATTGTTTCTGCTGCTGCTGCTGTTGCTGCTGCTGCTGCTGGCGCCTCTGTCGCCATCCCTGCTGCAGCAGGAGGCACCGCTCCAGCTGTTGCTGCTGTTGGTGCTGCTGCTGCAGCTGGTGCTGCTGTCACCGGCGGGGCAGCAGCGGCTGCTGCAGCTTTCTGCCCTGCTGCTGGTGTTGCTGCTGCGGCAGCATCCGTTGGCGCTTCACTGGGTGCAGTCGCTGCAGCAGCAGCAGGATCAGCAGCAGCAGCAGCCGGAGCCGCAGTAGCAGCAGCAGCTGGAGGTGCTGCAGCAGCAGGTGCTGTCGCTGCAGTAGCAGGTGCTGCTGCTGCTGCAGCAGGTGCTGCCGCTGCTGCAGCAGGTGGTGCTGCTGCTGCTGCAGCAGTAGCAGCCGCATCGGCTGCAGCAGGTGCTGCTACCCCTTCTGTATGTTCTGCCTTAAGGGGGAGAGGAGCATCTTGAGCTCCTTGCTGCTGCTGCTGCTGCTGCTGCTGCTGCTGCTGCTGCTGCCTGCACAGTTCATTTTGCTGCGCGACTTGCTGCAGTGCTGCATATATTTTGTTGAAGGCGCTCACATGCTCGTTAAAACGCATCACCACCACCTAAACAAATAAACAAACAAATAAATAAATAAAGAAATAAATAAATAAATATATGTATATATGAAAAGGAGATGTTAATATATGCAGCACAGAAGAAAGGAGACAGCAGCATGCATCAGCAGCAAAGTGAAGGGACAAACAAACAAAATAAACAAAGAGAGATGCATACAATATATATAAGTATATATATATATATATATATGAGATTATATATTTATATTTATTATTTATATTTATATTTATATTTATTATATATATTTATTATTTATTATATACATTTATATTTATATTTATTATTTATATTTATTATTTAGATTTATATTTAGATTTATTATTGATATTTATTACATATATTTATATTTATTATTTATATTTATTATTAATATTGATTATTAATATTGATTATTAATATTTATTATTTATATTTATATTAATATTTATTATTAATATTTATATTTATTATTAATATTTATGATTAATATTTATATATACCTGGTTAAGAAAGAAGCGTTGAAGATTTTTGCCTATGGTGTATACCCAGCTGCCAGGCCGATTATAGAGTGCACAATTATCAAAGATGAGCTGTACATCTGCTAGAAATGCATGCGGATGTTTATAAGATTGTTTGCGGAGCTTCATACGAACACAAGACAAAGACATCGGCTTACTTACGACATCATAATACCCTGGTGCTACTTTTCTATCGACAGGCTTCTCAAATATATGTCCGCCTTCATATTTACTCAGAGTACTTAATAATGCATTTGCGCAAGATATCCACGAGCCCATCAAAGCTTCGCATCTGCATATGCATGCAGCAGCACTTAAATCTCCTCCTGCTGCTGCTGCTGCTGCTCCTCCTCCTCCTGATGATACTGCTGATGCTGCTGATGGTGGTGCTCCTGCTGCTGCTGCAGGTGTTGCTGCTGTTGTTGCTGTACCGCCTTCACCTACAGGAGATCCTCCTGCTGCTGTTGCTGCTGTTCCTTCTGCTGCTGCTGCAGCAGCAGCTGCAGCAGCAGCAGCAGCAGCAGCAGGCCATACAGCTACAGAAGGAAATAAACGCTCAAACTCTTCTATCTTTTCATAAGGACAATCTACCCATACACCTGGAAGCTCAGCTGGCAGCGGCTGATACTGTAGTTTATATTTTTTTCTAACAGGGCCTTCATCTGCAAAGCCTCCGCTAGAAGAAGCAGTTAAAATGCTGCAGCTACGTCCCTGCTGCTGCAGCAACAGCTGCTGCTGCTGCTGCTGCTGCTGTTGCTGCGCTTGCTGCACGTCAAACGGTGAAGTACCCATGCTGCCGCTGCCCAGCAGCAAACTCCCTGCAGTTGCTGCTGAAGTGCTGCCACCAGGATGCTGCAGCATTTGCTGCTGCTGCTGCATATCGTATCCTGCTGCTGTTGCAGCTGTTGGTGGAGCAGCAGCACCCGCCGCTGCAGCAGGTGCAGCAACAGCAGCAGACGGAGGCGGAGGAGAGTGATAAGGGTGTTGCTGGTGTGCCCCTGCTGCAGCAGCAGCAGCAGCAGCAGGGGGTCTTGCTGCTGTTGCTGCTGCATTCTTAAGAAGATAACAAACATGCATATGATTATTATTTTTAGCGAAGTTCCACGCTGTTCTTCGCATGCAATCTTTAACAGAGGGGTCGGCACCTGCTTTAAGTAATATTTTAACAGCCTCTACTCTATTATCTCTGCTAGCATAAAATAAACATGTTTGTTTGTTTATATCTAATATATTCGCATCCCCTCCTCCATCTAATAATATATTTAGACATGCTGTCCGCCCTTCTCTTGCTGCATAAAATAAACATGTCTGACCAACAGAGTCTCTCGCATTCGCGTTTGAACCCTTCGCTAACAAATACCTACACATAACAAATATAAATGCACATATAAATATAAATAGATAAATATATACATATATATATATATTATACATATATATATATATATTGCTTTTATTTTTGTTAAATTTAACATATACATATATATTATGTTAATGTAGATGTATGTAAAAATATATATATGCAGATATATATATATATATATGTATATTCATATATATGTAGATATAATATATATATACATGTTTAAATATTAATTATAAATATTAACTTACAAATATATAAATATCAATGTCAATATATATATATATATATACATATATATATAATATACATATATAATGTAAAATACCTAAGTGTAAGTATATAAATATAAATATATAATTATATAAATATACGAACAAATCTAAACGTAAATATAAACGTATCTGTGCATGCAAATGAATAAAGAAGGACAGAAATATAAATATAAAAATATAAACATACACCTCTACACAGCTGTAAAGATAAATATAAACATACAATATAAACAGAAAAATAAATCAACAACATCTACAAGAGCAGCAGCAGCAGCTGCTGTTGCAACAGCAACAATCAACAGAACGATAACTGCAGCAGCAAACTCTCAGCACCAGCAGCAGCAGCTGCTGCTGCTACTGCTGCTGCTGCTGCTGCAGCAGCAGCAGGGAGGGGAGACAGTGCTTACCGGCATAGTTCTGCATGACCTTCTCTAGCAGCATAGAAGAGACAAGTTTGCTGCATGCGGTCTGTCGCATTAGGGTCTGCTACACCAAATTCATCGATAAGCAGCCGAGAAACTTCAAGTGCTTCGGCATCTGTTTTTCTTTGTGCAGCTTCGAATAAAACTGTTGCATTACCAGGCCCATCCGCTAAATAACGCTTCGCCTGCTGCTGCTGCAGCTGCTGAAGCTGCTGCAAATGCTGTGCTGCATCCGCACCAGCAGGTAGAGGATGCTGCTGCTGCAGCTGCTGAAGATGTAAAGCTAATTGCTGCAGCAATGTCTGTCTTAATACAGAGACAGGCTTTGTACGAACCATAGAATAAAAAGCTTTGTAAGGATTTGCTCCAGGTAGACCCACTGCACCGCAGCCGCGGGCCTGAGCACCTGCTGCTGCAGACATTGTTCCTGCTGCTGCTGCTGATGCTGCTGCTCCTGTTGCTGCTGCTGTTGGTGTTGGTGGTGATGCTGCTAGTGCTGGGCAGCAATCAAGGTTGCAGCAGCTGCTGCTGCTTCCGTATCAAAGGCTCAGCACTTAGGCAGCTGCTTCTCAGCCTCGTTCGTGCAGCAGCAGAAGCAACAGCAGCAGAAGCTCTGAGCGCTGCCGCAACTGCAACTGCAGCAGCAGCAGCAGCAGCAACTTCTGAAGTTAATCTGAAGGAGGTTTCCTTACCAGAAGCAGATGCATTCGAGAGGTAAGAAGTGTAGAAATGGGGATAAAAGAAGAAAAAGAAGAAAAAAAGAATAACACAATGTTGCTGCAGAGCAGCAGCGCAGCAGGGCGGCTGGTGTTACCCTGCTGCTGCAGCTGTGGGCAATTCGTACAAAAAACGCAAGAAAAAGAATTAATATTTAATAAATAGAAATAAATAAATGATTAGAACGAAGAAATACCCAAAAATACTCCGCAGATTCTGCATGCGATTCAGCAGCCTCAGGAAGCGCAACAGATGAAGGGAGAGGGGCTGCAGCTGGAGGCTTCTGCTGCAGCAGCAGCATAGAAAAAGTAAAAATAAGAAGAGAATAATATAAATAAATAATTATTCTGTATTAATTAACAAAAAACGCTTGTCTTTTTATATATATCTGCAGCATATCTCATCCACTCTGCTGCTGCTTCTGCCGCTTACTTCTGCGGTGTACGTACACCTCAAGCTGTGCGACCGGGGAGTTGCGTCTTACGATTGAATATGACGATTTTAAGAGACTTTATTGAATTAAAATGAATATATTTGCATAATAATTGTTAATTTCGCTCTGAATAGCGTTGTTAGGTGCATCTTATCCAGCAAATCATCAGGTGGGTTGTGGTGCTGCGCCGTTTGTTTGGTGCTGGCTTCGCTTTTTCTTTATTTATATTCTCTTAATCTTAAATAAGCAGCATTTTCTCAAGTATAAGTATAGCAATTCTCTATCTCTGGCTAGAGGAGAGGGAAAAGAACGTTTATTTGCCTCTGCATGCGCAGCCACTGTCTTCTGCATGTTTACTATATATACACCAGAAGAATTATTGATAGTGTTGATATTTGTAAAGTGCTGCATTGCAGCAGCAGCAACAACAATTATAAAGCGATATATATATCTATTTATATTTAATGCGGGTTAATCTCCTCTAATCCCCAGCCCTTTGACTATAATGAACAGAAGCATATTATAGAATATAGTAGGGATACAAAAGAAGTTTGATAAGTTTATTATTAATTACATTTTTATTTATTATAAAGCTTCATCTCTATTGAATTTATCTTTTTTAGACTTTTACCCTAAGATTGGTGTTATAACCGTCTTGTTGTATCCTCGCTCGTAAGGAGCTGTAGTAAAAGCATTAAACTTGCATAATAAAAATAACAACAATAATAAAGATAATAATATTAACAACAATAACAGTAATAATAATAATTAGATTAGTATTGTTAAGAATAAGAGTAATAATAATAAGGATAATTATAACAATAAAAATAACAGTAATAGGAGTAAGAATAGCAATCGTAATAAATAATAAAAATAGTAACGTGCATTTTAGTACTAAGGTGGCTATACACCGCAGTTGCAGCATTTCTTGCTAGAACTTCTGTCTGAAAGCATCTGCATCTGCATGCATGCATGCATGCATGCAAGAAGAACTTAATTTCTTTTATTTTATGCAAATCATTCACAATTCAAAGTTTACAGCAACAAATGCATTTCTTTACCGAGTAAACTTAAGAACAAGAATTAAAATATTAAGAATAGGAATAAGAGCAAAGATTAAAGTAATAATAATAATAGTAAGGATAATAAAATCAATAACAATAACAACTACAATAAAAAAAATAAAAAAAATAAAACAGCGATTCAAGCTAAATAAAACCCTATGGGAAGACAGCCGGTCCTAGCACATCAACATATATATATTAATATTCTAATTATTATTTGTAATTAATTAATTATATATATATATATATATGTGCATGCATTTATAGTAGAGAAAGAAAAAATGCAAAGAAGAGGATGCAGCTTTATTATTTTTATTCATTAAACAAACAAATGCTGCTGCGGTGTACAGACGCTGTTTTTTCTTGTTTATCTCTTTTATTACAAAAGCAATAATACTGTCTGAACAATATTCTTTTATACCCAATTATATATCGCTCAGTTTGTTGTTCTAAATAAATTAAAAGAAAGCTTTAAATGTCTGATAATGTTGTTTAACTGCTTTGTTATTTCTTCGTAAGTTAACGCCAGTCTTCATCCTACACCATATGGCTGTCTGTACACCTCAGTTTATATTCAAATAATATATATATATATATTTATATATATGTATATGTATATTATAGTATATTATATTATAATGCTGTATTGTATTACATTGTATACAGAGAAGAGTAAACATCATATAGAGCATATTATTTATTTTTAAGAAGAGTAAATAACGATTGCTGCAGGGCCTTCAGAGAAGGGAAGGCTCTGCATTGGCTGTCTCCTCAATGGAGACACCCTTCTGTCTCCTTTGTGGTGTATAAATAAATAAATAAATAAATAAATATATATGTTTATGTATATGTAAATATATATGTGTGAATGAATAAGAGAAGAGGTTTTTCTTTGCAGCCTGTTCGTCTCCCCTGTCCATGCTATCATTTTATTCGTCTTATATATAATATATATATATATATATATGTAGATATATATATATATATATATGTATATATACATATATATATATATACTGAAGTATATATATATAGATATATATTATGTTTTTATTTTATTCACTGTCTGTATCCCTAATGGAGGGCTCTCTGTCTAATTAAAGGGAGACACAGAAACAGATATATATAATATATACATATATATATATATTAGATGTATATATATACATATATATATATATATATATATATAGAGAGAGAGAGAGAGAGAGAGAGAGAGAATAAGCGGAGGGAAAGCAGAAGTTGTAGCCAATGTGTCTGTCTGTGTCTGTAATGTTGTCTGTTTTATTATATTTATCTCAAATATAATCAATAGAAGGGTGTATTAAAAGCAAATAATAAACAATGAACAAAACAAGCAATTATTATGTTATGCTGAGTTTGCTTGTCTGTCTCTTTCCTTCACTTTAGCTGTCTCTTGCATGCAAATACGCATGCCCCTACACTTTGTTCGTTTTATTTTGCTGTCTCTCTTACTCCCACCCTTTCCTTCTACACCTTCATGCATGCATGCATGCATGCATGCATGCACCAAGAACCCTATACATGCATGCATGAGCCAAAGGCTGCATGCATGCACTGATCAACAGCTTCATGCATGCATACATGCATGAAGCTGCATGCATGCATACGTGCATGCATGCTTATCGGGCATGCATGCATCAAAGATCCATAAGCTGCATGCATGCATGCATGCATGCATGCATGCATGCATGCATGTATGTGGTGTATGGAGTGAAAGCCCCACACATTCACTAAGCGCGTAGTGCAGCAGAGGTGCATGCAGAATTACACCGTAAACAAAACACCGCCTCATCAAAACCCTCTTACAGCTTCTGCTGGGGGCGCTCCTAATGCTGCTGCTGCTGCAGCTGCTCTTACTGCTGCAGCTGCTGCAGCTGCTGTTACTGCTGCAGCTGCCGCTGCTGTTGCACATGCAGCGGCAAAAACAGCAGCAGCAGCAGCAGCAGCACCTGCTGCACTTGCTGCTGCTGTATGCGCGAGCAAAGCGGTGCTGCACGCTCTCTCCCTGCTGATAACATAAACAGCAAGAGAGACAACAAAGAGACAGCTAATTATGCATGCATGCAGATGGAGACAGTTAAAAACAAACTCTATGCTCCGGTACCCCTCACCCCTCTCCTCTTCCTCTCTGCTGCCGCTGCTGCTTCTGCTGCTGCTGCTGCTGCAGCTGTTGCTGCTGCTGCAAGCAACTGGGCTGAGGACGACGGGTTGTAGGTTGTTGAAGTTAACGTAGAAAACGAGAGATACGCATCAAAGGTAATATAGACAAAACCATCAGAAAGCTGTTATGCTTCTGCTGCTTGAAGCAGCAACACCACCAACTGTCTCCTCAGCGTCTGCATGCAGCCATACTATATCTGCCCCCTTCTCTCCCTCTAACACAAACCTAGCCTCATCTTGCTGCTGCTGCCGCTGCTGCTGCTGCTGTCGCTGCTGCTGCTGCTGTCGCTGTCGCCGCTGCTGCTGCTGTCGCTGTCGCCGCTGCTGCTGCTGTCGCTGTCGCTGCTGCTGCTGCTGTCGCTGTCGCTGCTGCTGTTGCTGGTGCTGGTGCTGTAACGGATGCTGTCGCTGTCGGTGCTGCTGCTGCTGCTGCTGTTGCTGCTGCTGCTGTTGCTGGTGCAGCAGGGGAGAGCAGCAGCTTTTGCTTGACAGGGTTGCGAGACCTTGGAGTGTATATACATCTGGACTTGTTAATATGTTATATATATATAATAATAATAATAATAATAATAATAATAATTGTTAATAAGTGCTGCATTTGCTTCTGGATGCATAGGTAGACAAGTTTGTTTTGTTTATATCCCCCTGCTGCTGCAGTTATGCTTATTACGGTATATATATATATATATATGCTGCGGTGTATCAGCAGCTACAGCTGCGGCCGTGCCTCACTGGGAAGACCTACAGCAGCAAGCTCTATTTGTGCTGCTGCTTGTTTTCTTAACGCCCTTCGTTGATGCTCCTTCGTCCCTTCAACTATCATCCTCTTCTCTCTGCTTGCTCTCTCTTCGTATAGCTGTATCTCTGCTGCTTCTGCTGCTGCTGCTGCTGCTAGTGCTGCATTCAGCAGCTGCTGCGCTCCTGCGTACATTGCTGCCGCTTCCTCCATCCGCCTAACCAGCTCCAACACACACCGGGCCATACCCTCTTGCAGCTTTTCTGCTGCTGCTGCTGCTGCTGCTGCTGCTGCTTCTGGCTCCGAAGCTACGTGAGGTACAGCTGCAGCAACAGCAGTAGCCCCATCACCATCTGCAGCAACCAACGATCCAGCAGCTAAGCTCGCTCCCGCTTCTGCTGCTGCTGCTCCTTCTGCTGCTGCTGCTCCTTCTGTTGCTGCGGCTCCTTCTGCTGATGCAGCTTCTTCTGCTGATGCAGCTTCTTCTGCTGATGCAACTCCTGATGATGCAGCTCCTTCTGCTGCTGCTGCTCCTTCTGCTGCTGCAGCAGAGCCTTTATCTTCTTCTCCATCAAGCGCTGTCCCCTCACCTTCATGAGCAGCAGCAGCAACAGCAGCCGAAGCTGTTGCTGTCTCAGAGCCGTCGCCTCCCCCCACCTCTGTCTCCTGCTGCTGCGCTTCCTCTTGCTGCTGCTGCCGCTGCTGCGCGAGCCAGCTGCCTGCTTGTTGCTCTGTTTCCTCGTCGAACATCCAGAGAGCAGCAGCAGCAGCTGCTGCTGCTGCTGCTTCCGATGCAGCATGGTGTGCAACAGCAGTAGCACTTAAGCAGCTTGCTGCTGCTCCTATTCGCTGCTGCTGCAGCAGGCATTGCTGCTGCAGCAGCTGCATATCATCAATTAACTCTGCCACATCCTTATGCTGCGCATTCCCCCACTGCTGCTGCCCCTGCTGCTGCTGCTGCTGCTGCTGCTGCAGGAAAATAGCTGCTAGATCTAAAGGGCCTCCATGCTCTTGCAACGGCCTAACTGCTTCATGAACTGTACCGCCCAACCGCAGCGCAGCATCACGGAGGGATGCTGCTGCACCTAGTATAATATCTACACTCTTGGGGTGTACAGGCAGCTCACCTGCCGACCCCACACCAAGGGAGGCGTCTCCTCCATCCCCCTTCGTTTGCATCGAATGCAACGACTGCAGCTGCTGCTGCGCCTGCTGCTGTAGCTGCAGCCGCTGCTGATGCTGCTGACGCCGCTGCATGTGCGAGGGCTGCGTGAGAACCTTTGAAGAGACAGTATGCTTGGTGTCTGCAGCATCTGCGGCTGCTGCTCCTGCTGCGGTTCCTGCTGCTGCTGCTTGGTCTGAGTTAATAAAAGCAGTCAGGTTTCTACATAACGAGGTAAGCCCTTCCACAATCCTATCGAGTAGTAGCTGCTGCTGCTGCAGCAAGCGCCCCTGGAAGTCAGGGGGCTGCAGCTGCTGCCACTGCTGCAGCAGCTGCTTACAGAAGGGACCCCCCCCACTGCTGCTGCTGCTGCTGCTGTCGCCTTCTCCAGACTTCGCAATGCCTGCAGCAGTTTCCATAAACATACTCAAACGCCGGCGGGTGACTTTAATCTGCTGCAGCACAGGCATGCGCTGCTGCTGCAGCTGTTGCTGCTGCTGCTCTAGCTGCTGCAGCGCCGGCACCAGCACGTCTTCAAGCGCTTCCTGGGCCCCTGCTGTTGCTTCTTTTTCTGAACCCCTGTCTCCCAGCAGCAGCACGACCTGCTGCAGCGCAGTGACAGCAGTAGAAGCAAACTGTTCATCTTGCTGCAGCAGCGCAGCAACAGCAGCAGACAGCCCTGCCACCTCCTCCTCCAGTGCCGCAACTGCAGCAACAGCGCATGCATCAGCAAATGAAAACAGACCATCTAGCTGCTGCTGCATCAGAGACACGTCCCCACCAAGAATGCCCTCAACCTCAGACAAACGGTGCTCCAGCTGAAGCCGATATTGCTGCTGCTGCTGCTGCAGCAGCCCGTTGCTGCTGTTGCTGCTGCTCTCCTCAGCAGCAAACCCCCAACCTGCTGCTGCTGCTGCCCCTGGCTCTCCACTGTCTCCTAAAAGAGGAGACCCCCACTGCGTCGATGGGGACTGCATCGCCACGTGCTGCTGTTGCTGCTGCAGCATTTGCTGCTGCTGCTGCTGCTGCTGCTCATCAAGCTGCTGCTCCGGCATTTCTTCCTCAATCGCTGCTCGTGCTGCTGCGACAGCCTCTTCAGCTTGCTGCTTCTGCTGCTGCAGCGTGCGCATCACAGCAGCAGCAAAGGAATAAGGCTGCAAGCACTCGTGGGGCTCCCATAGCCCCATAGGCTGCTGCTGCTGCTGCTGCTGTTGCTGCTGCTGCTGCTGCTGCTGCTGCTGTTGCATGCGGAAGGAGATTTGCTGCTGAAGGGACGCCCCAAATTCGCCCACTGAGATACTCAGCACCCGCAGGTCGTGTGCTGCTCTTTCTGCTGCTGCTGTAGCAGCATGAGCACGACTCGTTGCTACGCTAAGCCCTAAGATGGGGGGGGCAAATCCCAGTGGGTCCTGCTGCTGTATCTGCTGCTGCTGCATCTGCTGCTGCTGCATCTGCTGCTGCTGCATCTGCTGCTGCTGCATCTGCTGCTGCTGCATCTGCTGCAACTGTTGCATCTGCTGCATCTGTTGCATCTGTTGCATCTGCTGCATCTGCTGCATCTGTTGCATCTGCTGCATCTGCCGTTGCTGTTGCTGCAGCTGCTGCAGCTGCAGCTGCTGCGCTGCTGGATCTGCTGGTGCACGCACTTGCAGGAGAGGATGAGACAGACCCCCATAGCCATCTCGACTATCTTCCGGCGAATGATCATGAATAGGGGGCTGCGATGGTGCTGCTGCTGCTGCTGAATTATTCGGACGCCCCTTTGATAAGAAAGAACCGAAAGGCATCTGGTGCAAGGCATCCTGCAGCTGGCTCAACGTTTGAGAAGGCCAGAAGCCTGAGAAGGGGAAGCCCTCATCCGCAGCAGCTGTGCAGACACCCGAGAGATAGACGATCCCCAACGCCCAGACGATCCCAAACATGCCAATCTTGCTGCTGCTGCTGCTGCTGCTGCTGTTGCTGCTGCTGCGGTGCTGGGGGAATGTCGGAGCGCTGCAGCTACTGCTGCAGCAGCTGCTGCTGCTGCTGCTGCAGCATCCCCTCTCCTTGGGCCTCCCTAGAGACCGAGGGGAAGAGCGAAGCAGCGGCAACAACATTGGAGGCTGCTGCTGCTGCTGCTGCTGGAGAGGAGCGCTGGGGGTGGTTGACGTTGCATGCGTTAGCAGGCTGATGCAGCAATAATAAATGGCTGAAGCAGCTGTAGGTCACGTAAAAAAGGCCAGCAGCAGCAGCAGTCTTGCTGCTGCTGCTGCTGCTGTTGCTGCAGCATCGAGCGGCGCCTCCCACTTGGTGGGGTGGCGTTTCTGTTGCAGTGTTTTTGTTTTTCTTGCTGATCCTGTCAAAAAAAAATAAAAGAAGAGTATTTATTCCGTTATTTTTAATTGAATTAAACACCTGCATGCAGAGAAGAAGCTGCAGGGCTGTCCTGAAGGCACCCAAGAAGTTTGAATGCAGCAGCCGCTGATGATGCGGGTGTTGGGAAACAACAAAGGGAAAGCGGAGTAAAATTTTGTGTTTTTAGTTTGTTTTTTTAAAAAACATTAATTTTAATCAAAAAAAGCAGTTTAAACACTCTCCCTTGACACCTTTATCATCGGTAATACAACAAAAACATAATTCATAAAGGGGGCTGCTTCTCTGCAGCCGCTCCCTTGTGCTGCTTCTGCGGGTGTACATACACCTGAAGCAGCATTTTAAATTTCTTGAATTTTTCCCTTTATATTAATTAATTAAATACTTTTCACACACTGAAAGGCATCTTTACCACAGGCTACTATTGCCTACGTCCGGGGGGGCCCTAAGTAGAATTTCTACTAGAGAACAAACAGCAAAGAAAAGCAATAAACAGATTCACTTCACTTTAAACATACAAACTTTTTAATGCATGCATTCAACCCAATTTGAACGCCACTCTAATCCGTAAGATGGGCAACCACCCCATCAAGGCCATGAGAACTATATATATATATATA